TTGGCCAGGGAGCCAGCCCCATTGCAGCCAGTGGAGTGGCTGGCGGGAATGACCAGCAGGAGCAGCACAAAGGTGGCATAGCCTCAGGCTCAAGGAGTGGAGTTATCAGGATGATGTGTCAGGGTCTGCACTGACGAGACAGAGCTGTAAGTGGGACGTTTGACATGGGGTACGGAGAAAGTTTGGGTAAATGAATGGAACCCGTACCTTGTTGGGACTGGTGAGCCTGAGAGGCAAAAGACATTGTTCAGTCCTTTTGAGCTGGGACAGTTACTCATGGGGGAGGGGGCTACAAACTCTGTTTGTGGTATTTTCCCAAGGTAATACCATACGACTTCTCTTTTTCATTAAAAGTTTCTTTTCTACACTTAGACTCTGTGCTTGCAAGTAGGGAAGCTTTGCCTCTCAGAGGCGCACAGGGGTGTGTGAATTTCCCAGGCTACTGGGTGGGGGCTCGAGCCAGTTCTGTGTGAGAGGGACCCCTAGATATTGAACCCAGCCCTGGTTGTTGCTGGGCCTACCCAGCGGAAGGGTTACATTAATATATAAGGCAACAGCTCCTCTCTTTTTCCCCTGCCTATCCATCCTGAGCAAGCTGTACCCTTCTATACCAATATTCTATTCATGTGTATTATCCCACCAAGTCTCTGTGATACTGACTCATAGTTGTATTTATTTACTAGCACTTCAGGTTCTTCCTGCTTATTCACCATACTTCTTGCATTTATATACAGGCATCTAAGATACTGATTTGATTTTGCCCCCCAGTTCTGTCTTGTCCCTCCTTTATCTCAGCTATTATAGCCCGTGCTATAGCCCGGGCTTTGGTCATTTTCCCCATCGAACTTTGTTTAAAATCCTCCTCACTAGATTAGCCAGTCTGTCCTCAAATATGCTCTTCCCCTTCCTCGAGAAGTGAACCCCATCCCTACTTAGCAGTCCTTCTTGGAACAGCGTCCCGTGGTCAAGGAAGCCAAAACCTTCCTGGAGATATCATCTTTGCAGCCAGGCATTCACCTGTAGAATGCACCTGTCTCTGCCTGGGCCCCTACCTTTGACAGGAAGGACTGAAGAGAACACCACCTGCGCTCCAGTCTCCTTCACCCGTACTCCCAGAGCCCTGTCGTCACTCTTGTGATCTTGTAACTACTGTGCTACAAAGACAGACATTTTCTCACTTTAGAAAAGCATATGCTTAAGGGACTCTCCTCCACAGACACACAATTCATGGGCATGCAAGACACCAGTATTTCATATTTACCCACTTATTGCAGAGATCTTCCCTTTCAGAATCTGTGTGGATATGGGCCTGTTGCTGATTTATGGCTTTACATAGCACCAATCAGTAAGGTTTGTGTGCACTCAGGCCCAGTCAGTCAGACGTCAGTAAAGTGGCATTGCAGCTACCCGAGGCAATGGAAAGGAAATGTACCTTATGCTTTCTTGTCTTCTTTTCTGAGTGGAGGGTGTTGGAATCCCCTTGCTTTCAGAGGATGCCTTCTCAAGCAGCAGCTTACATTCAAACCCCTGAAGAGAGAGGGAGAGAGAGAGATGACAGGTGTGTGGAAAGGTGAAGGGGACTGATTGCAGGAAGGAAATGTATGAAAACGCAGTGGCTTATAAAGTTAAGTCTCCAATGCTCAGACTTGTTCAGTTCATGAGTCATGCCACTGCTCCCAAGCAGAAACAGATTTCTCATTAGTATCTTTAGCTACCAGTAACTAAAAATGAATATGGTGATTCCATGCACTTCATGGAATTCAAAACAATCTCTTAAGTGGCCTGGTTTCCTCTTCTTGCTGAACAATAATAGATGACAGTTCCCATTGTGTACCGCTAACCTCAAAGTGCTTGACACCTCACTCCCCAAAAAATCATGAAATGATTTCTTGTTGATTATACTGTGGTTTTGACTGTCTTGATTTTTGAATCTCCTTATCTTCAGTGTGGTAACTGCAGCACTGCTAGCTCTCAAACCCTCCACCACATTTCTCCCTCTCCCCACCTATGTTGCTTTCTCCATGGGTTATTCCCTTCAACTCCCTACACACAACCGGGCCGGTGTTGCAGGGATAGAGTGGGAGAAGGGAAAGGAACAGAACTGCCTTTCTCTTGCTGCACTTTGTTCCCTCCTGTGAGAATGCTACTTGCTGCTTCCTCTCTCCCCACTCCTCCCAAAAATAATCTCCTGGTTTCTGCACCACCCATGTCCCAAACATAGTGCGACACATCTGCAGAATCAAAACAAATAGTAGATGCTTATAAAGCAAATAAGCCCTGATATATATAGAAAGGTGGCTTATGCTTTATATTTAGATTACATTCATAAATCATTTATAATGTTTAGATGTTACAAGCATGTTACAGATCTCAGTAGCATGCATTACAGATCATTTCAAGCACATCTATGGAAATGTTACATGTGTAACCGAATAATTGTGTAATTGCACAAAACATTATTGGTTACGTGACAATTTGATAGTCCCCAGGGGTGAGACCGTCAGCCAGTGCATTCCCAGCCCCACAGCCAGGGAGCCCCCTGCCACGCTGCACTGCTGCCTCTCTATCAGAGGCAGCAGTGTAGGGTGGCAAGCAGGAGCTAGTCTGCAAAGGGAGGTGGTTTAAAAACCAGCTCCCATGCAGACCGGCTTCCGTCTGCCACTCTGCACTGATGCCTCGGATACAGAGGGAACAGCACAGGGTGGCTGTAGACAGGGGCTGCCTCCCCTGACCCCCTATGCTGCTGCCTCATATAGAGGCAGCAGCGTGGGGGAAGTTGGGAGGTGACTCTGTGGAGCCAGTGCTGGGGGGAGCTGGTTTTTAAGTCAGCTCCCACCAGCACTGGATTCTGCCTCCCCACCGCCTCTGTTGGAGGCAGCAAGAAGGGGGCAGGTGGGTCTATGGAGCCAGCATGCACAGAGAGCTGGCTTAAAAGCCAGTTCCCCATGTGTATTGGCTCCCACCTGCCCCCTTCAAACTCCATGGTGCTGCCTCTCAGAGGCAGAGCGGGGATGGGGGGAACTGTCAAGTAGATCTGGTGCTCACTGGCCCCTGCCTACCCCCACTTGGTGCTTCTGATGCAGAGGCAGTAAGGTGAGGCGGGAGTGGGGAATGCATGTAAATCAACAGGATTAACCAATAAAGCCAGTCATATCGGTTAATTGTGTAATCGTCTACACATTGACATCTCTAAGGTCTATAAGCAACTAACAGTTGTTTTATAACTCATTTATAAGTGGAACATGAATAAAAAGGCTGACCAAAAAAGTGAAATTCCTCTACTAGAGTTTAATCCCTGCTTTGAATTTTTTTTTTTATTTTATGGGTTCCATTTTTATTCAACATTTATTCTTCTATCAATGCTAACAAAAAATATAAGACATCTAGCAGAGACTAGGCCCTATCATTGGTGATTTTATAAAAGCATAATTTTGAAGGATTTTTCATATTTCCTACCAGTTGCATAAATACAAAATGAATAAAACATATTTAACAAAATGCATTTGCTAAAATAATATGTAAATTGTGGGGCTCTATTTTATTATGGATTTGCCACCTGAGGTATACATAATTTCTTGCACTCAATTATATAAAGCATTACCATACACAACATAGGCAAAACATCAATGAATAAAATTATACGTAATATGGTGGCCCAAATACAAGTGATTATAGAAAGAAAAAGCAATTGAACTATTAATAACTCCAAGGCATAAAAGTGACGCTTAACAGCAATTTTCACATGAAAGAAATTAAATCACAAAACTTCACGTTTGCAACCAGAATGCTTATTTGTGTGTGTAGGTTAATGGAAATTAATTTTAAATAACTCTTCAAACACATTTTATCATTATGACTTCGCAGCTCCCAAACATTTTTTTTATTTCTTTGAATATAAAAATGATCCTTTCTATAAGCAGCAGTTAATATCCACAGGTCTTTATGAATCATTCATTTTTAAAGGGGGATTTCATGTTCTTTGTAAAATTTTTCTATTAATCATGAAATGCAGAAAGAACAACTTGTTTTTCCCAGAAATCGTCTTCCCTGAACAATTAAGTTTTGAACAAAATATTTTAATAAAATCTCATTTAATCTTCTTTTGCAAAGTATGATATGTTGGACTCTTAAGTACAGTCTTATAAAATAAGTTAATTTCTTAACAGAAGAAAAATATAGATGATATCTAATTTCAGGCAAGTCCATACTGAGTTCAGACAGGTTTTTACAAAAGCAACATTTTAGAGTTGCCTCTTACAATTCAAGGTCCAGTCCAGGAAACAATAATTTATCACTAATCCCATAGCTCTTTTCCCCAGGGGTAAAGTTAGGAATCTACTGCATTATGAAACTGGTTAATTATGTATAATAGTTTCAAATACAGACAGTCAGAACCCCAGCAGAATCTTATGGGATACATCCTATGTCCTCCTACTTTCCCAAACTTGTTGTTAGCCTCATAAATGATACAAAAATTAATAAACTAGTAATCTTTGTTGCTGGAAAACCAGGATGGGACTATACATTTTATTTTTAAAAAATCACAATGCAGTTGTTTAAAAACATTAAATAAAAAACATCTCTGTGACAAAATACACAATTAGTGCTTTTGTTCCAGTTACAACTAAGAAAACACCATAATTTAAATCAAAGATGGTAAATAATCTCAGTCACCTTCATTCCATACAAAGCATAAAGCAAAGGAAATCAATCCAAGGGTAAAGTTCTGTAATGCCATGCAGAACACTCGGGTGAGAATCCTTCAGGTAACACGTGTGTACTGGGATGTTTGTGTGTGTTTAAACAGACATAAAAGAATTCCCCATATAACTAAATGAGGACCCTTTCAGAGTTTATGAATGGCTCTGACAGATTGTGAAATAAGACTCATTCACCCTTAGCAGGAAGAATAGTAAAGAGTAGGAACTTCAGGGTGATATCAATTAATAACACTTGATATGATGAATAAATAGATCCTTTGTGAGGTTTTATTGCTCCCTAATACTAACATTATCAATCACTCATTCCACAAGCTGGGCAAAAATACCCATAGTTAGCTGGTTCAGTTAACTCAATAAACAATAGTGGGCATTAGAGAAACATATTAAAACCACTCTCACAGGCTAAATGAAACCTGCTACCATTTAAATATGAAGCCAGAACAGTCTTATAATACTTTGTTTTAAGATTCTAATAACAGGAAAGAAACAGGTTACTTTCAAAGGCTGAAATGTTTCATTATAAACACCCTCTCCCTCATACACAGATGAAGTAAACATGATTTCCATAAAACCAGGAAAGGAAGAACAGTTGCTAAAATGTATTATAAAGAAATCCTTCTATTTCATCTATATTAAAAAGCTTACAACAGAATGTGGCAAATGACATCACATAAATATCAAACTTCAACAACATCACACAACAAAAAGAACCTCGTGCATGAAATAATACAACCTTCTAACTGATGATTTTTAGTGAATTTTATTTATTTTTGCTTTAGTAATGCATATTGTGTTCACTCAAAGTGTGCAATAATGGGATCGGAGGCAGGTGTTTAACTTTTCTAATGAAAATCAAACAGAGATGAATTTTCTAGCTGAATGAAAGTCCTACTAAAGAGGAAAGCTAAAAAGCCACAGCTGGTAAGCCAAAGCTGCTCCCAACCTTATACTTCCTTACCACACAACTGGCTACATTGACTGAGCAGCTATTTGTTAAAAGAGTGACCTCTAGCGGACTTAAGTGATGGGGTGTCATCATGGCAGCTACATTATTGAGATCTGGTTTGCAACCAGCTCTAATCAGTGGGTGGCAATAAGAAGGCACAAATCATTTAAAGACAAGATTTTCTATCTTTTTCTTTTAAATATGCCATTCTACACAAACTTAAATTTATCTTGTAGATTATTTTTGGACACAAAATTGCATATGTAATAGAATTTAAAACATAACACAAAAAATAGGCTGTTCTACCTGAAGCAAAATAATCCCCTACCCCCCAAACAGCAACATTCATTCCTGGCTATATGCAGTACAAATATTTTAGGAATCTGTGACAAAAGACAATTAAAAAAAAGTCAAAATCATAAAGCTTGTAAACGAATAATCTGTAATACATTTTATTTATGGAAAAATATCATCAAAATAGTACCACTATGGACTAAACTGCCTGAGTTTTCATTTCATTTGTGATCTTGTAAGTAGAGACTTTAGCACAATAAGATCAATTTCAGTCACAACCAGTGCCATACAGCGACTGCATCCCATGGAATATTTTCGTCTTCATTGGAATTTGTGCTGTGCTATCAAAAACTCTTGTGCTGATTCCTTCAAACAAAGGGATATTGAGGCAATTCTTAAATCATTTGGCACAAAGTTATTTTGGCTGGGGCATAAATTTGAGTCTCAGTCAGGATGAATAACGTAACATTCCACCTATCAAGCGTTCATTTTGATTGAAGGGCTTTCTTTATGTCGTTAACTTCCATCTGCAAAGAAAAATCTGATTAGAAGGTTTATTAGTGTGTCTTATCAAATTCAAGCATTGTGCCAGCAGTAAATTCAGTTGAACATAGCATCTTATCTCAGGGTGCTTGAAAGTAAAGGTTTCCCTGTTATCCCCTTGTTATTCCCATCAGCAAATGCCTCACACATTCAGATGACTCATTCTTGCTAAAGGAACTGGAAATGGCTCCCTTCTTCCAGAGCCAGGCAGAGATAGTTACTGGAACATGTCATGAACTGACTACCTCAGATTCTTCTCCATCGCGTAGAGACTGAACCTTTATATCACTCCAAGCCTAACACTGTGTCTGCACTACCATAAAGTCAACCATGTAAGGTTTACCATTACTCCTTCCTTGTGAAAAGAAAGAGTACCGAAACTGACTAACAGCCTTTACACTCACTGGAACGGGTGGGGTGGTATGAATTCATTGTTTAGAAAATGAACCTAACCTAATATGGTTAAGTCCCATGTTAAGATTAAGCCTAATCTGGTTTAATTTAGACTGGTTTATTTAAATCAATGCAACTTGTGTGTGCGAGTGGACTCTCATAGCTATTTAAAACTCATATCAGTTTAGCTATCAAGCTCAACCAATATAAGCTACGTTAAACTGATATATGAATGTCCACACACATTATAATTTTTTTTAAAAAAAATCACACTTTTAGTTATTTCAGATCAGCTCTGTATTTAGACAAACTTAGTTATATCCTGGAGAACTGGAATCCAGAACTCTAAATGGTATTAACTGCTAGGCCAATCCAATAATTTCTATAGAAAACTGATTAACCTTAGTTAAATTGACTATTAACGATTAAAAACTATGGTATCTGACAAATTTCCCTATGCAGAAAAAAATATTCAGAATGTCCCAGTTCTGCCATGCTTACAAGTGTTGAACAGTATGTTACTAAGTAAGAACAGCCCATTGAAATTAAGTTTTGATTTTCTATCACCAGTACAGGCAGTCCCCGGGTTACGTACAAGATAGGGACTGTAGGTTTGTTCTTAAGTTGAATCTGTATGTAAGTCGGAACTGGCGTCCAGATTCAGACACTGCTGAAACTGACCGCCAGTTCTGACTTACATACAGAATCAACTTAAGAACCCCAGGCGTCCCCAAGTCAGCTGCTGCTGAAACTGATCAGCAGCTGATTCCAGGAAGCCCGGGGCAGAGCAACTCTGCCGGGGGCTTCCTGTAGTCAGCGCTGGTCAGTTTCAGCAGAAGCTGACTTGGGGACGCCTGGGGCAGAGCAGCTGGGGTGCTGCTGGGTTGCTCCAGTAGCGCCGCTCCTGGGTGCTACTGGACCAACCTAGCAGCACGCCATCTGCTCTGCCCCAGGCGTTCTGATTCAGCCGCTGCTGAAACTGACCAGCCGCG